TTCTGGGGCTGTAGTTGCACAAAGCTCCCCTCTGCTGGCCACAGCTAGAAGTCTGGGGGCAGCTCTTAGGCAGGGACTGGACGCCATGCAAGGAGGGTAGTTTTTATCTTTAGTTTGCAGGTGGAGATGGGACCTCCACTCACACTGGGTGGCGAATCTACCTCCTTTTCCCCATTCTCCTTCCCTTCACCCACTAAATGGATATGCAAGCCCCGCCCTAAGCATTACACATTCATGGTCTTATGATCTGCACAATGACCTAGAGGTAAATATGCTATCCCCTCACAGAAATGAGTCAGGAGTTTAGGGAATCAAAAACTTTCCCAGGATTGTGAGCAATAAAACTGGGCCAGCTTCACGGGCACGTGACCAGGGCTCTGCACTCAGAACCTCCCCGGCTGCCCACCCATCTCCCTCCCCCCCTCCCTGCTTTAGTTTAATGCTCTACTGTCACCATCTCAAAATTCTTAGTTTCTGAACAAATGACTTGCATTTCATTATGTGTGGGGCCTGGCAAATTGTGTCCTTAGTCCTGCTGTTAGAGTTGGGGCTTCAAACCAGAGCTGCTCCACCCCAAACCCCGTGCCCTCTTGCTGCCCCCAGGGCTATTTCTAAACCACACACCTGTTATCTCCCTGTTCAGCCCCCCAGGCGGCTCTCCTTTACCTGTAGGACTAAGCATCCCATTTCCTAGTGCAGGGATTCTTAACCCCGGCTGTATACACCTGGAGGAGGGAGGGTTGGGGGAAAACACTGACACCTTGGGCAATATGCTCAGAGCAATAAAATCAGAATTCCTGTGGGTGGGGCCCCAGCACTGAGTGTAAAAGTTTTCCAGGTGTTTCTAATGAGTAGCCAGTATGGAGGCCTTTGTTAGAGGCCTTGGCATTGTTCCTGGCATTTTTTTTTTTTAGAATATTTTTACTGATTTCAGAGAGGAAGGGAGAGGGAGAGATAGAAACATCAATGATGAGAGAGAATCTTTGGCGGCCTCCTGCACGCCCCCCACTAGGGATTGAGCCCACAACCCGGGCATATGCCCTTGACCGGAATCGAACCCGGGACCCTTCAGTCCACAGCCTGACGCTCTATCCACTGAGTCAAACCAGCAAGGGCCGTTCCTGGCATTTTGTGGGTGTTTAACAAATGTGCTCCAACGCTTTAGAGTCATGAATTCACTGAAGAGCTCAGGGTGAGAGTTCAACTGAGTTGTGAACAAGAGGCTCATCTTTGGGTTTCATGTTTGTGTCCAAATAGGAGTTCAATGGGGAAGTTCCCGGGTGCGCTACAGAGGGCGGTGGTTCAGTGGGAGGAGGGAGAGTGAGAGACTGAGAAAGACTTGGAAATTAGGTGCATCTTCCGGAACTGATACTGTTTGCCTGGAAGTATCATCTGCTTACGTTTAGGCAACATTTTCAATTCCAGTGCTTGGATGAGTGGGTTCATCCCAACCCTGGTCTCAGCAGGGGGCATTGGCCCAGCTCAGGGAAACTCTTATTTTTGTTATTTTTTTAAAGATATTTTTTCCATTGCTTTTCAGAGAGAGTTGGAGGGAGGGAGGGAGGGAGGAAAACATTAAGGTGAGGGAGACACATTGACTGGTTGCCTAGAGAGAAACATTAAGGTGAGGGAGACACATTGACTGGTTGCCTCCCACATGTGTCCGACTGAGGGTGGAGAGCAAACCCACAACCCAGGTATCGAACCCTCGGCCTTTTGGTGCTCGAGCCAACACTCTAACCACTGGTCCACACTGCCCAGGGCAGGGAAACTCTTTTTTGAGGGGGTTGGCACCTGAGAGGGCTGGATGCAATTTGGAACTGCTGGTGGCCATTGACCATGATGGTGAGAGCCAGCACAGAGGCAGCAGAGCTCCCTGGGGGTGATCAACTTCTGATGTGTGAGCATACCGATCCCGCCTTTAGGTGCTTCCCCAAACTCACCTTATCCACATAAACTCAGGTGGTGGTTATGGATATCAAGATGCCTTTATAGCTGTATTCACGTAGGAAATTCCAAGGGTTTTAGGAGCCCTGCGCCAGAAACAGGCGTGCAGACCCAATATGTATTCCTTATTAGAAATCACAAGATCCCAGGGCTTCTATCCTGGGCTGCTGCACGTGGGGAGAGGGTGCTGAGTCTGCTTTGCACCCTCCTGACAAAGAGTCCCCAGAGCCATTTGTTAATCATCTAATTAAAAAATGGATTCTCCGATGGAGAGAGGCCTGGGAAGAGAGTAGAGATATGATCAAGCAAGCACCACTGTAATCAAGTGAATTGCTCGCCCCAGGACAGCCAATAAGTCGAGTGACAAGGAGTTGGGGCAAGGACGGCGACATTATTCTGAAAGCCAGCAAGCCGAGACGACGGCAGACGAGTGTCCTAAAGAACATCTTGAGAGCCCACAGAATTCAGGCTTCTTTTATTCAGGGGAGGGGCAAAAGAGGGGGCACTTGAGGGCAGGAGGTGACTGGTGGTGACATCTACGTGTCAGCAAGGGCCCAGTCATGAGGTTCCCATAAATATTTTGATAAACAATCGTTATTTTTGTACGTACCTTCCCTTTCTCCACAGGGAGGCAGTTTTGAGGAGATTGGTGTGGTCCCTCCAGGTCCCTGAAATGATCAGCGTGTCCGTGTGTGGGAATGAGCAGAAGATGTTGCCCACATGCTATGGGGCCTGGGCAGGTTTGAGCAAGATGGAGTCAGAAGGGCTGAAAGGTTCCCATAAATCTTTTGATAAACAATCTTTATTTTTGTACGTACCTTCCCTTTCTCCGTAGGGAGGCAGTTTTGAGGAGGTTGGCGTAGTCCCTCCTAGGCTACAGGCCAGGTCCCTGAAATGATTAGCATGTCCGTGTGTGGGAATGAGCAGAAGATGCTGCCCACATGCTATGGGGACTGGGCAGGTTTGAGCAAGATGGAGTCAGAAGGGCTGATTATTTTATTCTATTACACAGTCCAGGTGTTAATGGCAGAATCTAGGTGGTACATATATAGGTGCTCACTAGAGAAATTATTTCAGTTTTGCCGTATGTTGGAAAATCCTCATAAATAAATGTTCGGGAAATGAGCTCAATTCAAAATGTATTATTTCCCTCTCCTTTTCGCAATGCTCAATTTTTCTTAAGCTTCTCTTTGATTATTAAAGTCACCAGCACCAGAGCAATTACTTCCTGCAAACAAGTTGTCAGAAGCCTCAAATTAATTTTAGACCTAATTTAATTCCCAAATTACTTGCTTATGAAAAAAAAATCCTAATTTCTCCAAACCAAATCAACCCTTGATATACCAGTCATGATTTCTTTTTAAAAGTCTGTAAAATGCTAAGCCGGTCGCCCCGAGGTGGCCTGAATGAATTAATTCGGACTGGGAAGAGAAAGGGGTGCTCAGAGCCTCCGGGCCACAGTACAGATCCCAGGCACAGATCGAGGTGAGCTCGGGAGTGTGTGTCAGGGTGAAAGGGAAGAGGCGAGAGCTGCTTTCCAAACAGGGACAAATTGGCCCCCTGGTGGCTGGGTGGAGATGGGGTGGTGGTGCCAGGACACGGAGATGAGGTCCTGAACACTCTGACAGCTTTCCAAAATGTGACCGTCTCTAAGGAGACCAGCGGGTAGGAGTCAGAAGCTGGAAAAGTGCACATTGGCTTTTCTGGCCTCTGTACTGGGGGCTGTATTAGTTGCTAAGACTGTCATAACCAGTGGCCACAAAGTAGGGGGCTGAAAGAAATAGAAATGTGTTCTCTCACAGCTCTGGAGGCCGAAGGTCTAAGTCAAGGTGTCCTTTTCAGAGCCGTGGGGAAGAATCTGTTCCATGCCTCTCTCCCGGCTCCTGGTGCTGCCTGCAATTCCTGCTGTGCCTTGGCTCGTGGACCCATCCCTGCAGACTCAGCCTGTTTCACGTGGCGCTTGCTCTCCCGGTGTCTGTTGGTCTTCGTGTCTCTTCTCTTCCTAAAAGGACCCCAGTCATTGGATTAGGGCCCAGCATGACCTCATTTGAATTTGGTTCCCTCTGTAGAGACTCTGCTTCCGGGAGAGATCACATTCACAGGTGCTGGGGGTTAGGGTTCAACATATCTTTTGGGAGGACACAACCCATAACAGGGGTGAACATGGAGGAAGGGTTTGGCAGTGGTGCTGGGTTGTTCCCCAGACGTGATGCTTGGAGATATGTCTCAGGATGAGGGGAAAGGTGAGAGAAACAGCAGCCAGCCTGGAGTCAGGGCGGAGGGGACTGCTAAATTAAGCATCCTCAGACGACCTACCTCCAGACTTTGAATTTATGAGGTCATTAAATCTCCTTACCGTTTAAGCCATTTTTAGTCATTGCTTGCAACTGAAAGTATTCAGATTTTTTTTTAATCGAAATAAAATATCTGGCTATCCATAAATACTTGAACTCAGTGCCTTCATTTTGGACTTAAGCTTTAAATGCTTTCTTTTCTAAGAAGGGGGGAAAGGTCAGGCTTTAGTTATTTCTTTTAGAATGGATGACTCAAAAGATAAATGAGAAACTTGTTCTTTTTTAAAAACAGCAAACATAGTTTCTTTTTAAGTACATAAACTATGCTTAAAATCCTCCAAATGTTCTTTTGAAATGTGATTTTACAGCGTTTTTTCTTGTAACATTAGTAAAATCTTGTAACTTTCACAAGTTAAGTTATATTTCAATACATTTACTTATTACAGAATTAACAACTCATAGGTTAACCTGCTGTGGGAATAGAAAAAAAGTGCCCAGATGAAAAGAATGCATTTTCATGGAAAAAAGATAAACGAACTAATAAGTTACTAGTATTTAATAAATAAATTCTTACTGAATAACTTATCTTCCTGGTAAAATATTTACCATGCTCTTTAAAACCTTTTTAATCAACTGAAACACGCAGGAAGCTTTAAATGATTGGATATCCTTCTGTGGCTTGAGAGTTGAAATTAATCAGGGTCAAAATGAGCCCCATCCTTCCTCTGCTCTGGAAAGAAGCGAAATTAAGTGTAAAAAAAGAGTTGAAATTATTTTTTATTGAAGTACATTTTAATAAGAAGCAAATTGATTTAAAGTGATTCAAATCTTCGTGGAGTGAGGCTCTTCATGCCCTCGACTCCTCGGGCTGGAGGGCAAACTCCTCATCTGACAGGGTCCGAAAGGTCCCGCTCCACCCTGGTGCTCGGATGTTCTGGGCAAATGAAGAATCAATTCCTGATACATCACCTCAGGACTGGCCCAGGCCGAGTGACTCAGCAGGGGAACATCTTCTCCACTTCTCTGTGCAGTGTATCCCGAGTAGGAAATAACATAGAACAGCCATAGCCTGTGGCATTGACAGAAAAATGGCTCCCCAGCCCTCCCCACAGATGCTGGGTCAGGATATAAAAAGGAAGAACCCAGGAATCTGTGTGTTAATTGACGCCCTAGGGTCTTCTTATGTTTAGTCTGACTCCCCAAAGTTATTGGACAACCAAGGTTGACAGCGAAGGCCCTGCTTCTCACACCTGGACGATGTGTTAAACTCCGGCTGCTGGGCCCACCAAGGTCTCTGATTCAGTGGGGGTGGGCAGGCCTGGGAGTCTGCATTTCTGCTGCTGGCCTGGGGACCACATTTTAAGAACCACGGCCATAAGGTAGTTTGGTTGAATAAATGATTGTTCTGTAATACAGATCTTCTCTGAGGAAAAAGTATTCTCTCGATGTATATTGTGTTTAAATCCAGAACACATACCTGTTCTCAGACCAAAATATGGAAAAAAGGGTATCGGTAGAATGCAGAAGAAGGGATACGGTTAGAGCTTTAGTGATTCTGGCCAGACGCCACCGCAAACCCTTCAGAACTTCCCAGCACCAAGCGCATGTCGTGTGAAGAGGGAGTTATAACATCCTCATGAGAACAGTTAGTTCCTGAGGAAGCAAACGCTTCACGTCTCAATGGTGTTAAATATGGCGTAAAGCAGACAAATTACCACATCAACTGAGTTTCCAAGAATTCTTCCCCACTTCGCTACATGACTTCATACAAAAAGAGGTTCTTTAAGTTTTGACTTGCCAAACAGTACCTTGCTAAAGCACCACTAGCCAATCTTGCTGAGGACTGTTCTGGAATACAGATGAACGTGAGTAAACCGAGGAATTTCTGGCAGAGTTCACGGTGGGGTGAGTTTTCTCAGTCAGCGATTCCAGAAATACCGGCTCAGCTGTGCCAGCGGGTCCAAAGGGCCTGCTTCTCATTATGGGGAAGACAAAGTTGGGTCACAGGTCACTGCTAAGCCTCGTCTGCGCTGGAGAAAATGAGATTGACCCACTGAGAGAATCTCACGGTATTTCCTGTGGAAGATGCTGGCACACAATGTATGTTTCATATAATCAGCCTCGCAGACTGAGGGTTCTGATGGAAGGTCTGGCCACAGTGATGAGGGCCCGCAGGCCCTGAGGCCAATCTTCTTTTTAAATTCTGCTAGCGAGACAGCTTACATTTGACAGCTGGTTTCCACAGAATCTTCCCCATTCCTTCTGGGCCCAATGAACACAGGTTCTAACTGAGGAACATCTGAGTTTGGCTCCCATCAGAGCTGTCTGCCCATCGAGGGGAGAGACCGGCTTCTTTTGAGGACATTTCGTTGCTGCCTTTCCAGCTTTGCGATACGTGCGCCAGGCCAGGCCCAGGCTGCTGTTCCACAAATAACTTGGGCTCAGCCTTTGCTTCAGTAGGATTTTTGGAGCAGAATCAGTCAAATGGTCTTCCCATCCTCCCAGGAGAATGTGGCATTAAAAGAAACAACCGTATTATCTAAATTTCCAGAAATGACTCCCTGATGATTATCCACCTTCCATCAAAGCTCACTGTGCTTTTTTCCAAACAGGCCTTGAGTTTTAAGATGTTTAATATTTAAAGTTTCTTTCTGGAAATACTCACTGGGTTTGGACGGCAACTTCTGAAGACCGATAAAAGGGAAGAGGTACGTGGTTTAGGAATGGAATATTTGAAGGCTGAGTAGAGGGAGGAAAATTCCAGCTGGAAACCTTTCTGATGTGCAAGCCTTCCGGGCTCTGGGGGGTGAACGAGACGGTGCAGGTGGAGGCAGCTCCCACCGCGCCTGCGGCCGGCAGCAGTGACACGTGAGGTAAACCTGCAGTTGAATCTGGGTAATAAGACATCGCCTGTCAGGGAATCCGACATCCTTTTATTCGAACAGTGGCAGCACCATCCCGCCATTAGAGCAAACGACACGTGAATTGAACTGAATGCCAGATAAGGTGCACCTATTCCGACTGTGTGAGTCGGGAGTGTCGGCGGGGTTGACAGAAGGTTGGCAAAACCCCATCTAATTTGCTTGGCGAATTCCATCACCAATGAGCAGCTGTAGGCAGTCCTTCTGGAAGGCAGCCCCCAGATTTGATGCACATGCAAAGCTTAAAACCACCTGTTTGGACCACCTGCGGGACCTGACCAGTGGGCCTGGGTGCTGCCCGGTCTGAGTTTTGAAATGCTCCCTAGGCGACTCTAACGTGCAGCCGGGGTGCGAATCAGCTACTTCTTATTTAACCATCTCCACTGCTACAATTCCTCACCAGAAGCTCTATCTAAGGGGCCTATGGCGGACACCCTTTCCTTTTGGATGGAGTCTTGGTTTTGTTCTTGATTTCCACTCCTCAGAGGCCCAGGAGCCCTTGGAGGCCTCACCTCACCCCAGGCACAGGTGGAATCCTGAGTGGGTGATGCGGGGTTTCTCCACCTGGGCACGGTTGACAGGGGAACAGAACTCTTTGTAGTGGAGGCTGGTCTGTGGATTGAAGGATGCTTAGCAGTATCCTTGGCCTCACCCACCAGGTGCCCGAAGCACCCCCAACCCCCAAGTGGTGACAAGGGAAAGGTGAGACTCTCGGGGCTCAGCTGTCATGTGAGGCCGTGCCTTGTCAAAGATTGTCTGAGGCAACATTTTCTTCATTTGAGACAAAGGGAGGGAAAGGTTCTCTTTCTGTGGGATGCTGAGATGGTGCACACCTGGGCCCTGACGTCTGTGGGGCCGTGGCATCCACTGCCCTGGGAGCTGTCGGCCCTCTGGCTCCGCCTCATGAGACAGTACAGCCCGTGTACTCCCGGGGCTGTGCTCTGTTATTTACAGCTAACTGCTTCCAACGGCTTCACCCTGAATCTAGGCTGTTAATTATTGGGAATGAATTGTTCCTCTTTGCAAGGCAGACATTTTGCCACAGACCAACATGAATAATTGGTCAAAATGTGTCCAAAAAGTGGAAAACTATGAACATACACCAAGATTATGACCGCGAAACAGGGAAGCACCTATGTGAAGTGCCTGTAATTTATGGATGTGGCGTACGAACATTCTTTGGCCTTGCTCAAGGAGAGAGCAACAAAACCTCACATGGCACCAGCGGTGGCCAGGGACCCACCGAAGCAGATGTTCTCTATCTATGAGATATAAATCTAATCCCAGGCAGGTGTCTGAGGAACCTCCAGGCACGTCTCTTGCTGAAAGGCTCAGCATGTGAGGGCAAAGCATTAGAATTGATTCTTTTTCAACATTAACCTGACTTGTAGAAACAAACTCCTTTCCTATTTCCAAAGTGATTTGTGGGGTCGATGAGTGTAATGTTAAATCACAATCCCTCTGGTGTTCGATTTGGGCAGCGACTCATGGCCCCCACCGCCATCTTCACTCACTGAAAAGGAATTTTAAAGAGGCTGAAGCGAAAAGCAGGTGCTTAACCTCATGAACCGGAGACTAAGATTCCAGGTGATGGCTACGTGGCTACCGTTTTAAGACATTTTTTTAAAAAACAAAGTGACCTTCTGAGATGGTAAGCAAATAGGTCACGGAAAAGGGGCATCAATTTCCCCCTAAGGGGGGTCTCAAGGGATAATTTTTGTGAGAAATGGTGGGGGTGTTAGTAAATGAATGTGAAACCTGTAGGCATTGTTGTTCTGCTGAGGCAAACACTCAAGAAACTGAACTCGATTTGTTTAGACAGTTGCTATCAAATAACTTATTTGAGGAAAAAAAAGACGATACTTTGAATAGTTTCAATTCTGAATAAAAATTCACATCAAGGTGTTGATTACCTTAGGTCCTGTTTGAAAATGCAAAATCAGTCTTTTGAAACTGGATTTCAGTCCTGAGGGGTGGGCTGGTGGTTCCCAGGATGCCCTGACGCAAGTATGTGGGAATCTGCGCTCTCGGTAGGGGTGGACCAAACAGCCAAGGGCAAGTCCTGCAGTAGGCCACTGCCCCCAGCTCTGTGACCCTGGTCAACTGAAGCCCAATGTTGGGTTCCTTCTGTTTAAACTGGGACTGATCCCGACGAAACCAAACTCAGGGCTGTTGGCAGGATGAGGCCAAATAAACAAACTGTTAAGAACAGCGTTTCTAATACATGCTTTCCCTGGTGCTGGACTAATCGTTAACTGTTGCCAGGTAATTCTCAGGGTTAGCTTTGACAACATATTGTGCAAATGACTCCATTGTAATCCAATTAAAACATATAAACTATAGAATACAAAAAAAAGAGGAACATGATTATCCATTCAGGAAACCTTCAATTTACAAGCAAGATGTGAAGGTCATTTTGAGTTGTTTGGAGGACTCTATGTCCCCATAGCAACAGTACTCTGAGTGCGCTTAGGATTCCAAGGACTCACAAAGGCATATTAACCTTTAATTACCTGAAACACTGTATGTTTGTCCTGAGAAGGTCCTGAGGCCAACCATGATAGTACTTTACTAGAAATGAAACAGTAGAGAAACAAAATTGATCAGCAAATAAAATGAAAATATTTAAAATCTTTTGGCTTGAAGGAAAGCAGGATTAACCAGAAGTCAAATGAGGAAGCTGGTGGGGCCTTGGGCCTGGGAGATGAGGGCATTTGTCAAACATATGGCTGCTTCCCTTGGTGCAAGCACCTCCATACTATGTGGATTTAACAACCCTAAGTAGGATCTTCACTGGCCTTTAACTGAACAAAAACTAGTTGGAGAATGAGAAGCAGCCATTTTCCTGTACAAAAGGATCGCACTTGGAACTGGAAAGGAGCAGTGCTGCGGGACAAGGTGGGGCATGAGGCCCTGGGGGAAGCAGTTGTTTCCCTGGCAGACACAGGTTGCTCCAGAAAGGCCGAGGGGCTGAGGCAGTGGCAGGGCAGGGCAACAGTAACGTGGCCGGCATCTGCAGTTCTCACTTCACACAGGTACTGTCTTAAAAGAGTGGAGGCAAACCATCCATTTGGGCAAATGGGAAGGCCTCTCCAAGGTCACAAAGCCTGTTTCACGCGAGGCTAAAGCTCTGCCTACAGAATGGGTGGAGCGCATGGCAGTGCAGGCGTTCCTTTATAAATGGAACCCAGTGCTCTTTTATGGGATTACTTCAACTGCTCTCCCCCCATGTATAGTGTTTTACACCACACTAGTTCAATGAAATGTTAATTAGGTGGTAAGTACATAAAAAAGATCCTTGGTTGGTCAAATAACTTGGAAACTGGCAGGTGAGAAAGTGAAATCTCATTTCTCTGCTCTGGGACCTCAGAGCCTTCAACATGCTAATTTGCACTGTGCTTTTTCATAAAGTGAATCCAGTACAAGGCAAATTTTCTAAACCCAAGTGACTACAAACCCTTATTGTCTGGAACTTCTCCAGGACAAGCGTCCTGGGGAACATACCTGGGAAAGGTTTCCGTCTGAACATGTAAAACATCAGCTCTCCTTCGACACCCGTCAGCGCAAACCCATGGTCACCGAGGCTCCTCGTGACACAACCCCACCCGCACCACCTTCCCATTCTGCCTTTGGTTATTCGTACTCAATCCTTCTAGAGGTTTTAGCTCATAATCTAAAATGGAACGTGCACTTGAATCTGAAAATGTGAAAAACCAAACAAATCACTTTGACACACAAAGGAGGCGTTAATAGCAGGATTCCAGGCACCTTTATTCAGGGCAGATACTGTGGTCAGTGGAGCTTGCCTCAAGAATCTTCCCATTACTTTAAGGAAGCCAACTTCTACTTACTAGTAAGTCCTAACTATCCTTCCTGCCTACCATTTCCAGTTGCTGTTTACTAGGCTTGAAAACACCCCGCACACAGGTTCCATCTGATTGGCTGGAGTGCAGCAGGCTCTGGGGCTTGCTGGGCTAAACCTGCAGCACATCAAAGGAGTTTCTGCTCTGGGCAATTAACAGGGTTAATTCATTTTATCACAGAAGAAATTTACTCCTTTATGTTTTCCATATAATTTATAAATAGGAAAAATTATTTCTTAATATTATTATATATTTGCAATACAAACAATCAAGACTGGTGATATAGGAAACAAAAAAAACATAGGATTCATTAAGTGCAAATCTGACAGTCAACGTTTTTTCTATAAAAATCACTTTGCTGTGACAATCACATGGATCTCCTCCAGTCAATACTGGCCTTTAGGCTTAGCATTCCCGACACTACATTTTTGAGTGGCAAGAGTTATCCCTGTCTTCTATCATGAATAATAAAACCATTACTCTGCAGTAAAAAGTAGTTTAAAGAAACAGTATTTCTTAAAAAGCTTGAGCCTACCACAAGTCTTTTATTATTTTCTAATGAAGCAACTGGCATGGTCTCTTTTCCTTTTCTGTTCCTTTTTTCCAATCAGTAATTCAAAGAAAAGATGGAGTAACTGAGTTTTAAAATCCTGCCAGATTTTGTACGGTAACTCTTGTAGATGAACAATGTAGGGTCCTACTGAACTATTCAAATCTCATGCAGAACTCTAACTAATGAATGCCTCATTACATTAGGCAATTCTATCATATTCCATACTTAAAAATTCTCACACTAAAGTGGCAGTGGTTACTATTCATTACTTTAGCATCTGACCTCAAAGACTTAGACAAAATCATGGTTCAAGTCTGA